ACCGTGAGCTAATTGACAGTGAAAGACTAGCCGAGGTCGCCTGTCTTTGCCGTATGACGGTGCTCTCGGTGGCACGGCTGTTCCGTACGCACCGGCCGTCATCCCTGGTTGTGGATGCTGCTGAGGAGACGGTCGCTGACGAGGTTGTTCTCCGCTATTTGCCCCGTTGTAATCGGCAGCATTCTGGTGGTGACGAGGGTCTGTTTGTGGCATATCTGCTGTGTTTTCCGTGAGCTGTTCAGCTCTCGCTTTCTTGTCCTTCTTCTTGCCGGGGAAAAGTGGCATATTCCGTTTGTGAAATGACAGTACTTATAAAAAGGATACGTCACAAAAGTATCTGGCGGCAACTAAAATCGATTGGTGTTCAATGAAACAAATCACACCCAACACATCTCCGGACGCAATCCAAAATGGTGGTACTCAACCGGAAGCAGAAAGTGACAAAATTCGTTCATAAAACGCATCACGTGATTGGCTATTATTGCCTCGGCGACCTGTTGAATTAAACCCGTATTTATCTTTTATCCGACATTCTAAATGCTTATTTTGTTCTTTGGATTGACTCTCGCGAACTAGGATACCATTTTAATATGCCAATCACACAAATAGCCGTGACAAGTGCCAACTGTCCACAAAATCCACACAGACGTTTTAGTATATGCACCAATCAAAATTTGTCTGTCAATCGGAAGTGGCAAGAACGAATTTATACTGTATGACGGGATACAAATATGAAAACACGGCGGCTGCTAGCTTTGAATTCAGTGAAAGTGAACATAGTGATATGATGTAAACATAACAGAGCACGAGCGCAGATATGACAAGTTGTAAGTCGTTCTCTTGGAAATCTTGACGATTCGCATGTTTTTCGATCCACAAGCAATTGAGACTATTCTGTATTTATTAGGAGCAGGGTATCGCATGTACAGTGTCACTAAAACATATCCCTGTCCAAAGGGCGCTCGTTACTATGCGAACCGTGGCTCAAATAGCGAGCCTCGGGCCCACAATCCCCTGCCTACAGGAATGTGTGTTAGGGATGGTTAGTAGGATCGCCTGACCAGGCTGACCGTATCCTAATCACTACCACACAGCCTACGCTAAGATTCAAACGCTTGTGCTTGTTATGACAAGACAGAATTTGATAAGGAAAAAAAAAACACAGTAAAAAAAAAACTGTATAAAACTTCGTTATTGAACATTACTAGTATATGTTAATTTAGAGTTACACGTGTAGATTTAAGTGCCTGTGGGTGTACCTTTTTCAAAAAAAGGTAAATATTATTTCAAATATTACCGGCATTTAAAGCGCGGTAGTCGTCGGTAGGGGTCTCATATAAACAAAGATGGCGACTTTGACTGTTGCGCAGATCAACGAGTACGAACTGAGACGTTTCCAAGCTTTAAACAAGTAATTTTCATGTTATTGGAAGGTATCGAAGGAGTCAACGGCAGTAATCAGTGCAAGTTGCGCCCAGGTCAAACCTCGTACTTGTGATTTTCATTTGAAGAGCGCATTGGATTGTGTGAAAATCAATGTTTATCAACACAAATGTGGCACATGCGCAGCGCGACGACGACCGCGCTTTAAGAATATTGAATATTTCTGGTGTTCCAACAGTCAGTGGAAGTACAACATTCTAATTGTAACAAGTAAAATAATTCATTAAACATTTTCTATTTAACAGAAAAACATACAATGCTATAGCCAGCTGCCACAGTTGCAATTATATTTGGGTTGTATAACTGATATCCTCATGCCATATTGTACTAATTTCAAATAAATCACTACTTGAGTGGCTGGCTGTTAAAATCCAGTTTATGTATTATTTTTGTATATATCAAAATATAGGATGTGCACTCAAATATTCAACTACCTTACCCAGGCTTATTTAAGTTTTGTTACAGTGTGGTAGATTCCAGTTTTCACTACCCTAGAATCTATACAGATTTGTATTCACTATAGGCTGTTGCACTTGTTTACGTGTGCGCAACTGGTTGGCAAGAACCGATTGTTCACACGCGAAGATAAATTAACGGTGTTGTATATAAATATACAACATAAACGTGCGCATGGCACATGTGCAAGTGACGACTCCCCCCTGCTTTAATCATCAACAAACTTTTAGCTGCAAGGAGTAATTCCCAAACTTGGCCATAGAGGGCACTATTATTACTTTGCGAGTGTTCATGAACATCCTTTAATACTAGTGCTTCTTGACCACTAAGAATGCTTCATCACTCCAAGTGCCTGTTTCCAAATTTGATTAGTTTCCTAGAGTCAAACCTCCATTGTTTGAATTTGTGTACAGTCAACCGATTTACCAGACAGAGTCTTACTACTGCCAGCTAGTTAAACCGTGAAATAAAAAAAAAATAATGGCATCACCCACAATGTGCATGGCACTTATGGGATTATGGGTAATAAGCTGTAAAATCCACGTTTCCAAGCTGAATAAGAGCAGCTCCCCATGGGCAATGCCCTGGTGCCTCGGGAGGCGAGTGGGTAGTGTAAGTAGTTGACTACTAAGTAGCAGCACCAATTATTACCACCATATTTGTCTATGTTGGGCAAAGTGGGTTCAAGTCAAAATCTAAGAAGTAAAGCCGCAGTCTATGATACCAGACATTATCAAGAAAGAGGTTTTGAAGGTAATTAGAAATAAATGTACTGCATGACTTCCAGTACCCTGATGCCAGCATATGGTCTAACAGAGTACCATTAAAAAACATTGGAGTTAGTGGGACATCCGTATTTGCTTCCTTGCTTCCCGTAATGCCAGAGCGCAAACATTGGACACAGTGTCTGCTGCCCTCTTGTACCAGAAACCATACTCACTATGGAGTGCATATAGGTGAGGCCAGTTCAGCAAGTCTTGGTTCTTAGCTCTGAGGAGGTTAGCCCATAAAGGGACTGAGTCATCCTGAAAGACCCCTAAATTATCAGCAAAGGACAGAGCTCACTCACTGTGTATCTGCATGAAGCCAAAGTGACCAATCTTGGCTTGTAGGGCACCTGCTCAAACACTAATAAGGACTAAAATGTTGGCGGTGCCACAGCACATGTGCAAGACGGCCTTTTGAGCAGTGTTTTAATGAGATCTTCCTTTTTGATGTTCCTACCCTAACTGATTGTCATCACAGACAGATGTTTCTTACCGTACTAGAAAGTCCACCAGCTGGGGATGTCCACCATGGAATTAGCCAGAGTAGTGCTATCAGTGTCATTTGTGTGTTGTTTTATAGAGCCAATCTCTTGAGTATAGCTAATATCATTTACACATCGATGTTGCCCCAGTTGATGAACATTGTGCTCCAAGCCAGTGCTGTCTGGCAATGGGTGTTCCGTGGGGGAAAAAGGGATTGGTGTATGGTTCTGGCCTAAGAGATCTGCCAGTCCATGCTCAAAATTTGGTTCGAGGCAATGATGGTGTGTCAGTGATATTGTTATGGACCCCCCTGATGTGCTTGCACTCTAAGGGGATGTTTTGCCTTGTACACCAGTCAGGAAGATCTACGGTTAAAGATAGTTGAGTCGCAGTTGAGTCTTTCTTGCACCTCACCCATACCTATCCACCCCTGAAGTGGCATAAGACCATCAGCTTTTGGGTCAGAGAGGTCACTCGGAAATGCAGTGTCTGCTGTTGTGTATCGGTGATGCTAATTGTTGATCCAATGGGAGTAAACTGTTTTGAGTTAGCCAGAAGTAACATGTAATGGTGGGTAAGTGCCTCCCGAGTCTGAATAACCAACTTGGTCACTTTAGATAGTAATTGAGCGACCAGAATCAATCATAAACAAAGGTCAAACATTATCAATGTCACTTGGCTTGTTCTTATATCACCATTATGGATTGTGATACCACTATTTTCTGGGTGATTAAGATCCACTTTGTCTACATTAGACAAATATTCACTTAAAGCAATAGTGATTTTGTGACATCATAAACTAGTAGATACAT